ATTTCATTCATATTTTAGCCTGTGTCAGAATATCCTTCCTTTTTACGGCTAAGTAATCTCCCATGGTATGGGTGGACTACATTTTGTTTAACCATTCACCATCAAGAAACCCTTGGGTTGCTACCCTCTTTTGCCTGTTGTGAATAATTAAACACAAGTGTGTAAATGTAAACATCTCTTGGAGTTCCTGCTTTCAATTCTTTTGGGTGGAATTGATGGGTCATATAGAAATTCTCTCTTTAATTTTTTTGAGGACCATTCACACTGTTCTTTCACAACAGCTGCATCATTTTGCATTTCCACCAACAGTACCCATGACTGCCCATTTCTCCACATTTTCACCAACACTTGTGTGTAATACCTGGCTTCTAATGTCTTGTGAACCTGAAGTAGTTAGCTATTTGTACATAACAAATTACCCCCCAAACCTAGCAGCTTAAAACAAGCATTCACTGTCTCACAGTTTCTGAGGGTCAGGAACCTGAGAGTGGCTATAGAGGGTGGTCCAACAGTATCCCTCCCCCACCAGCTCCCAGCAACTACTGTTTTGTTTTCTGTCCCTCTAGATTAGCTTCCATTTCTCAGAATGTTCTGTAAATGGAATCATACAGTGAAGCCTGTGTGTCTGTGTGTGGCTTCTTTTCATCAGCAGAATGTTTTTGAGATTTGCCCCAATATATTTTGGGTGTCTTGGTAGTTTATTTATTTATTTATTTATTTATTTTTAAAAATATATTTTATTGATTTTTTACAGAGAGGAAGGGAGACGGATAAAACATTAGAAACATCAATGAGAGAGAATCATTGATCAGCTGCCTCCTGCGCACCCCTTACTGGGGATGTGCCCACAACCAAGATACATGCCCTTGACCAGAATCGAACCCAGGACCTTTCAGTCCGCAGGCTGACGCTCTATCCACTGAGCCAAACCGGTTTTGGCTCCTTTTTCTTTCTTATTTTCTTTTCTGTTACTCTTTCTTTCTCTCTTTCTTTGTTTATTTTCTTTTATTGCTGAAGAGTATTCCATTGTAGGGATTGCAGGTTATGTTTTGGTTTGTGTAATCCATCCCTCTGTTGCTGGACCAATTTGGGAAATGGTCTTACATCAGGGCAGAATCCAGATCTCAGTGAAATGCAGGATGGAGTCAGTTTAGCCTTGGAGGGACCTTGGCACCAAAGAAGACAGCAGAGCAGGGCTCTGGGCAGGCAGTTGAGTCTCAGGAGGGCACTGCTGGTGAGTGGGTAATCAGGCAGGGACCCAGGCGGCGGTACTGCCAGAAGGTATTCACACAAGTGATCCTCAATAGACCTGGGGATGAGGTGAGGCCTGGAATGATCCAATCGGTGTGTGTGTGTGTGGGGGGGGAGTATGGAAGAGGGGTGTTTGAGGAGCACCTCTTCCAGGCTGAAGGGAGGATCCATTGCAAGGATGGGTTCTGAGATAGGCTTTCACCAGCCAAAGTAGGGTATTCAGTTCTGACCGTGGCTTCTCTCTTTTTTTGAGGTCCATTTCCTGAACCTCAACTGTGGACACAACTATTGAAGCAAGAAAATGCAGACCTCTGCTTCTGGCCAGGCTAAATATGTTTTTATTGATTTTAGAGAGAAAAGGAGGGAAGGGGAGAGAGAAAAACAATGATGAGAGCTCCGCTGGTGTAACTCAGTGGTTGAGAGTCAACCTATGAGCCAGGAGGTTGCGGTTCCATTCCTGGTCAGGGCACGTCCACAGGTTGTGAGCTCAATCCCCAGTAGGGGTTGTGCAGGAGGTGGCCAATCAATGATTCTCTGTCATTATTGATGTTTCTATCCTTCTTTCCCTCTCCCTGCCTCTCTCTGAAATTAATAAAAAACATATTTAAAAAGCAAGAAATATCGATGAATCGATGAAAGAAATATCCATAGGCTGCCTCCTGCATGCCCTCTACTGGGGATCAAGCCCTCTACCTGGGCATATGCCCTGACCCAGAACCAAATCTGAAATCTCTCAGTGCATTGGACAACGTTCAGCCACCTGAGCTACACTGGCCAGGGCAGGCCTGGGTTCTTTTATTGGGGTAGAGTGTGGTGCCTAGGGTTTCACGAGCTCACTCTTTTTTTTTTTTAATTTTATTTTTATTTTATTGATTTTGTACAGAGAGGAAGGAAGAGAGATAGAGAGTTAGAAACATCGATGAGAGTCATCGATCAGCTGCCTCTTGCACACCCCCTACTGAGGATATGCCCGCAACCAAGGTACATGCCCTTGACCGGAATCGAACCCGGGACCCTTCAGTCCCCAAGCCGACGCTCTATCCATTGAGCCAAACCGGTCTCGGCATGAGCTCGCTCTTTTTTTAAAAAAAATATTTTATTGATTTTTTACAGAGAGGAAGGGAGAGGGATAGAAAGTTGGAAACACTGATGAGAGAAAAACATCGATCAGCTGCCTCCTGCACAACCCCTACTGGGGATGTGCCCGCAGCCAAGGTACATGCCCTTGACTGGAATCGAACCTGGGACCCTTCAGTACACAGGCCAAGCTATCCACTAAGCCAAACCAGCTGAGGCATGAGCCCACTCTTTATTGGTGAATTTAAAGCATGGGGGGAAAAATGACTCACATGGTCAACCAAAATCTCTGAAACAAAGGACCCTTCGTGGGGAAGACAGCCTGGCTCTTCACCTACTTGTGTGGCTAGCATTGTGTTTGTTGGAGATGGCCATCTGTGCAGTGGCTGCCTCTACAATGGATGTTTAACCAGCCTTTGCATTACAAAAAACTTAAAAATCCAACTTTCATGGCTCACATCATCTTCCCCTCACCGCATGGCAGGTTCACCCTGTGCCAGTGCCACCCGTCCTGGTCCTGTGCTTGGAAGCCTCCTAAGTCCCAGGCAAGTATGAGCTGCTTCTGTAATGAGTGTGTGTGAGTGTGTGTGAGTGTGTGAGTGTGTGTGAGTGTGTGTGTGTGAGTGTATGTATGTGAGTGTGTGTCAATGTGTGTGAGTGTGTGTATGTGAGTGTGTGTGTGAGTGTGTGTATGTGAGTGTGTGTGAATGTGTGTGAGTGTGTGTGAGTTGTGTATGTGTGTGTATGTGAGTGTGTGTGTGAGTGTGTATGTGAGTGTGTGTATGTGTGTGAGTGTGTGTATGTGAGTGTGTGTGAATGTGTGTGAGTGTGTGTGAGTTGTGTATGTGTGTGTATGTGAGTGTGTGTGAGTGTGTGTATGTGAGTGTGTGTATGTGTGAGTGTGTGTATGTGAGTGTGTGTGTGTGTATGTGAGTGTGTGTGTGAGTGTGTGTATGTGAGTGTGTGTGAATGTGTGTGAGTGTGTGTGAGTGTGTGTGAGTGTGTATGTGTGTGTGTGAGTGTGTGTGTGTATGTGTGTGTGTGTGCGCGCATGCGTGCGTGCGTGCGTGCGTGTGTGTGTGTGTGTGTGTGTGTGTGTGTATGGCACAAGGGCATGTAATGGGGAAAGGAATGGAGCAGAAGGAGCTGGTTCTTTGGGATGGGGCTAAGCATTTGGAAGATCAGGCAAGGGGCAGAAGGCACAGGATGTACGTTGGGGGAACACAGAGGTGTGGGAGGGCAAGTGGCATCCGTTGGACAACACAGGACACCTGAGGATGGCCATCCCCTCTTCATACTCCTGTGCCTTCCACGCCACAGCCCCCTACCAAGTTCCCCTACGGAGACCACGTGCACAGCTGATGAAGCCGCCAGGTGACACCTCCTGCCAACTGGGCAACCTGGACAAGATCTTCTCAGCCCCTGCACGTGCCTGTTTTGACACCTCATAACCTCCCATAGTCTTGACACGCTCTTCCTCCCCCCAATCCGATCTCTGTCAGGAAGCCTTTGCTGAGCTGACCTCACCCCTTCATGTGACTTAGGTGGGTGTGGAGGTTGGGGTGCCTTGTCCTGCAGAAGGCTGGGCCACATCTCACCATATTCCGTTTCTCTCCCTCCCTTCCTCTCTTGCCCCAAATTCAGGGTTTGTCCCTAAATTCCCAGGGCTGCGGCGTTCTCCCAATAGGCCTCCCCACCGCCAGGGTGGGATTTTCCTGGGGTCTGGGAAAGCCTTTGGGTATGGCAGGGGAGGGTGCCTCCAGGGACCCAGGGCGGCCTTGCCTCCTGGGACCCGAAGGCCAGGACAGGGACCAGGGACACTGAACTGCTGATTGGTCCTTAGGCCGGAGGTGCGGGCAGGCCCCCTGGCTGCCAGGGCCCGTGCATGTTGTGGTGGGGATTCTCGCCTCCCTCCCCCCTCCTCGCGGGTTCGGTCTCCGGAGCTCCGGGCCGCGCAGAGCGGCCGCCCCTCCCTCTCCCTCCGCGCGCTCCCGCCGCCTCCCCGTCCGCTCCGGCGCGTGCGCCCCTCGTCTCCGAGCCCGCGGCCCAGGGGCGGGCCGGCTCCGGGCGCCGCCGCCCGCAGCCCCTACCCTCGCTGCCATCCACCCCCACCCGAGGGGCTCCGCGCGGGTGCGGGAGGCCGGGCCGGAGGTGAGTGCGGCGCCAGCAGGTGGAGTGGGCGGCGCGGGCTCGGCCGGCGCGGCGCGGGCATCCCGCTCGGGACGCGGCTCTTTGTCTCCCGGAGCTGGTGCGCGGGCGCCGGGGCCGCTCCTCCTCCCGCAGGTGCTGGCGCTCCCCCTCCACTCCCCAGCTGGCGAGGGGACTCGGGGGTGCGCTCCGTACCCCCACCCCATTGGAGTCCGGGGTCCCCTGTCCCCGGAGCTGGACGTCTGGATCCCTAGGGGGCGGGGGGCAGAGGCGTGGATCCGGGGTCTGAGAGGGAGCGGGGACCGGACAAAGGGGATGGGCGGCGGCAGCAGGGCCCGGGGGAGGGTGATGGGGTGGGACTTGGGACCGCCTGGAGCAGCCCGGCTGGGGAGCGGGTGGGTGGGTGAGTGGGAGGGAAGGGGATCGAGGTCGAGGTGTGCGTGTCTGTGGGCAGCGAGGTGCCAGAGCCCGGCTCCCGCAGGCTGCCCGGCGGCCCCAGCCCCGCTGTCTTCCTCAGGTGCGGGATGGACCGGAGAGACAAGGCCAGGGCGGGCGCCGCTGCGCGGACCGCGGCTTCGCACCCCCCGGGTCGCCGGAAAGCCCCCAGGCCCCCAGCGGCTCCTCGGGCCCCGCCACCTGTCACCCCCGCAGCCCTCAGGGCTCCGGGGGCCGCGGGAGCTGCGGGGCGGGGGCCCCCGGCCGAGCGAGCGCCCAGCGCCCGGCCAGCCGCCCTTCCGGACGCTCCTCCCGCGGCGGAGCCCACGAGGGGCCCCCGGACCTGCCCCGGCAGCCCAGGTACCCCAGCCTCTTCCCCCGAGCCCGAGCCCGTCCCCCTGCACCTCCCTCCTCCTGAGCTACACTCTCCCTCTGCCTCCGGCACCTGCTCACCGCCCTCTCCTGGCAGCCGCGAGGCCCGCAGCGGCGGCGAGAGGGGCGCGGACCGCTGCCAGGACCCCCGGCCCAGGCTCTGTCTCCAGCCCCGGACGAGCCGGCGGTGCCACCAGGTAACCCCCTCCCCTACCTCCCCAGGCAAGGGTCAGGGTCACTCTCTGTACGAATTGGGGTGCGGGAACACCTGCAGGTGACTGGGTGCAAGTTGGGTGAAAGCCGTTCTAAGGCGGCAGAGGGTCCATGTGCCCATTTCACAGATGAGGAAGACAATGAACTTTGGAGGTGGGGAGGCGGCTCTGCCCTGAGCATTCCCCCCACCCCACCCCCAGGCTAGGTCCTCTGGGGCCGAAGGCACTCCGGCCGCCAGCGGAGGAGCCGAGGGGCAGAGGAAAACCCCCAGAAACTCCCAGAGCGAGTGCCCTGAGTGTGGAGGCGCGGAGAGGTATGTGCCCGGGGAGGATGGGGCTCCTGGGCTTGGGGGGGACCAGCCTGTAAGTGTCGATGACCCTTTGCCTTCTGCTTTGCCCCTAGACTCTTTCGGTCCCACGCCAGGCGCTCCCCTCCCCGCCATCTCCCCTCGGCCTCGGGGTGGGGGTGCTGATGTGGGGCTCCCCCGGCCAGCTTCCAGTGCCCGGCCCCGTCCCCTGGCGGAGGCCCCCCGGAAACCAGCGAGCCGTGCCCCGGAGCGCAGCGCCGCGGAGCCGAGCCCTGCGGCCCGGAGACGGCCCGGCACCGGCGGCGGCGCCCAGAGGCCGGCCCCGCGCCCCCCGGGCTCCGGCGCCACCCCGCTGTCCTCCCCGGCTCGCTCCCCTGCCTCGCTGGGGCGCTCCTCGCAGGCCAAGCCGAAAGGGCTGCAGGCTCTGTGCCCCCAACAGGCCGCACCTTCCAGGAAGGGCGCAGCCAGCCTGCAGAGCCTCTCGCCCCCTTTGGCCACTTCGTCTCCGCGGGTTCGGACCGCACCACGGGCACCGCCCAGCCTTATCGCTGCCTCTGCTCTGCGGGACACACCCCTTCCCTCTGCACCCCCCACGCCTCCTTCCCGGGCCCCGGCGGGCCCTCTGACCACGCCCCTCCCGCTGGCCCCGCCCCATGCCCCGCCCCCTCAGCGGAACTTCCCCTCCCCGCCTGCCACGCCCCCCTTGCCAGCTCCCCTCGTCCACCTGAGCGCATCCCTTCCGGCGGCGCCCGCCTCTCCCACGGCCGCTCTTCCAGCTCTGCAGAGCGCGTCCCCTGCCCAGGCTCCTCCGGCTTTGCCCTCTCTGCCGGCTCTGCCCTCTCCCCCGTCCACACCGCCTTTGTCAGCCCGTCTGTCACCGGCCACGCCCCCTCCGCAAGCCCCTCTTCCTCAGGCAAGGTCTCCGCAGAGCTTACCCTCTCCCTCAGCCACAGCCCGGCGGCAGGACTTTCCTGCGCTGGCCGCGCCCCCGCCGCCGGCCGGCCCTCTGTCTCCGCCCCATCTTCAGCCCCCGGCCTGCACCCTGGCCGCCCCTCCCCCGCAGGATCCTCCTCCAGCCTCAGCCCCTCCGCAGGCTCCGCCTTCCCCACTGACCACGCCCCCTCCACAGGCTCCGCCTTCCCCACTGGCCACGCCCCCAGCGCAGACCCCACCTCTGGTCCCATCCCCTCCGCAGGCCCCGCCTTTCCCGCTGGCCACGCCCCCAGCGCAGACCCCACCTCTGGTCCCATCCCCTCCGCAGGCCCCGCCTTCCCCGCTGGCCACGCCCCCAGTGCAGACCCCACCTCTGGTCCCGTCCCCTCCGCAGGCCGCTCCCTCTTTGGTCCTGCCTCCTCTGCAGGCCCCACACTTTCTGGCCTCGCCAGCTTTGCAAGCCCCTCCCCTGGGCACGCCCCCTCCACAGAGTCCCTCTGCTCTGGACACACTTTCTCTGCAGGTCTCTCCCTCTTCTCAGGCCCTGTCCCCTCCACAGGTCTCCCTTCCTCTGGCCTCACCGCCTTTGCAGGCCACTCCCGCCGCGTCCAGTCCTCTCCTAGAAGCTATGGCCCCTGTGCAAACCCAAACTCTGGCCTTGCCTTCTCTGCCAGACCCTCCCCCTCCAATGGCCACGCCCCCTCCCCCGGCTCCACCTTCTCTAGTCCTGTCCCCTCTGCAGGCCCTTCCCTCTCCCCCTGCCTCTGCCCCTCTTCAGACCCCACGCCGCCCCCCAACCCCGGGCCCCGACGCCCCGATCCCGGGCCCGCGGCTGACCCTGGCGCTGGCCCCGGCGCCGCCGCCGCCGCCCTCGCGCAGCCCGTCCAGCACGCTGAGCGGCCCGGACCTGGCGGGCCACAGCAGCAGCGCCACCAGCACCCCGGAGGAGCTGCGCGGCTACGACAGCGGCCCCGAGGGCGCCGCCGCCTCCCCGCCCGCCGACGCCGAGCTCGCCGCCTGCCATCCAGCCGCCTGGAGCCGAGGGCCCGCCCCGCCGCTGGCCGGCCGCGGCGCCCCGGGTGAGCGGGCTTTGGGACCCGGCGGGGCTGTGGGCGGGGCAAGGCCTGGAATGTGGGTGGGCGGGGTGGACGGCGAGGCTTCGCGGCTCGCGGACGGGCGGCTGCGGGGCTGCGGGGCTGCGGGGCTGCGGGGCTGCGGGGCTGCGGGGCTGCGGGGCTGCGGGGCTGCGGGGCTGCGGGGCTGCGGGGCTTCGGGTCGGGCTTATCGCTCCCTCCCGCTAGTTCGGCTCTCCTCGCTGCAGGGGGCCCCCTGCCCTGGCCTCCGGCCGCTGGGTCCGGCGCTGCGGACGGCCTGTGCACCATCTACGAGGCTGAAAGGCCGGAGTCGGCGACCGCCGCCCAGGGAGCGCTGGAGCCCGGGTCCGGGCCCGGCGCGGGTGGCGGGAAGGTGGCGGCCGGGCCCGGGACGCTGGCGGCCTCGCGCAGCGGGAAGCCGGCGCGCCTGGGCGAGCTGCCGCTGGGGGCGCTGCAGGCGAGCGTCGTGCAGCACCTGCTGAGCCGGACGCTGCTGCTGGCGGCGACCGAAGGTGCGGCCGGCGACAGCGGCTGTGGCCCCGGCAGCGCTGGGGGCGGTGGCGGCGCGGTTGGCGCCCGGACTGCGCTCAGCGATGCCGAACTGGGTCGCTGGGCCGAACTGTTGTCTCCTCTGGACGAGTCCCGCGCCAGTATCACCTCCGTCACCAGCTTCTCCCCGGACGACGTGGCTTCCCCGCAGGGTGACTGGACGGTGGTGGAGGTGGAGACCTTCCACTGAGTCCGATTCTCTTAACTCCACCCCCGCCTTAGCGTCCGTCCTCCCGTTACACCTCTCGGTCTTAGACCCTGGTCCCCTCCTTCTGGAATCCTGATCTTCGTAGAATTTTGGCCCAGGTTCGCCACCCACCCACACCTTTTGCTAAGGCCCTCCCCTCGAGCTTCGCCCCTTTGGCCTGGGACACGCTCACGCTCCCCTGGAGCCCTGCTTCCTCCCTCAGCCTAGCCCCCATCCCACGTGTATAGTTTGCAATAAAGCCGGGACACTACCGCCTGGGCGTCTTTGTCGCTGCGGGGGCCGAGGCTGCGGTGGGCCTGGGCGCTGCGGAGCGTGGTCTAGCCGGGCACACCTACCCGCGTGCGTGAATGTAGGTTTTTTTTCCGGTCTGACTTCTGCTGGAAACTTTAGGAGGGTCCCAATGCGTAAACTAGTGCGTGCAAGCTCTTCCCACCCTAGGCCAGGGGAGCCAGCACTCCTGGGGAGAGGGGGAAGACAGGTGGGAGGGGCTCGCTGGGGGTGGAGGGCCCCGCCCAGGGTGCACCCCCTTTCCTTTCATGCTCCGGTGTGTTAGAGGGAGAGAGGGGTCGCTCTGTTTCCCTGGGGACTCCCTCCCCAGGGCACACTGCCCTCTGCTTACCCAGGAGGCTGCAGTGCAGGGGCCTCCTCAGGACCTAGTTAGGGAGCAGGACCCTCCTGGGAAGGGATGGGATGGGCCTGTAGGGAAGGAGCAACCTCTTCCAAGGCTGGGTGGGAGATCAGGGAGTCTTCACCATGCCCCTTTATGGCACCCAACCCATGGACCTCACTTACCCTCCCAACTTAGGGTGTTCTCCCCAAACCAGGGGTCCTCACCAGAGCCAACCAGTATCTTCATTTGTCTCCCCTGATCATAATTCCTTGCCCTTCCTCCCATAGCCCAGTCATCCTGACACTGGATTCCTCAAGTCCCAGCCCAGGCCCTTCTTCCCAACTGCACTTCAGGAAACACTCCCAGGCCTTTCCTCCCTCCATGAGGGTCTCCTGCTTCAGCAAGAGAATGATGGAGGGCCTGGCAAGGACCACAGTCCGCTGGGCAGGTAAAACGACAGAGCAGGACTCCCTGTTGGGTCCTCACCTTTTTTTGTGCCCATAGACCCAGTCCTCACAGTGCAGCCTGCAGCCAGGCTCCTGTCACACACAGACCACCCAGTTCTGCCTGTCCCCACCCCAGATATGGAGACCTCCTAATCTAGCACCTGTGGAGAAATTGACCCTATCTCCGCAGGACACTACCACCTCCACCCCCAAGAGTCAATGTGTTGTTTGAGGGCACACAGCATGCTTCCTCATTCAAGGTCGAGTTTCATGGCAAAAAAGAGGTTCTCTTTCTGAGCCCTGGCAAGGACCCATGAGTCTTCCTTTCTAGAATATGAGACAAACCCAAAGGTGGGTGCTGGCTCCTTACCTACTGTGGAGTCAGGACCTCAGAGCCAGCCCCAAGAGGGAGCAGGGCAGAACCTGAGAGTTTCCCTGGGGCCCTACCCGACCTGGAAGCCGACCTGGAAGCCGGTGGGGTGGAATTACCCTATGAAAGCAGGAGACAGAGTCACTGCGGGGGTCTCAGTGTTAATTCTGTGTGATGGGAGTGTGCATGGGCCCACCGGAGCTGTTTGCTAAGTGATGGCACAATCTGGGGAACTTGGCTGTCCCAGTGCATAACCAGCATCCTGCCCTGCTGCTCAGCAGTCCCGGTTCCTTGAGGGGAGCTCATATTCTCTCTCCCTACTGCCCGGCTCAGCTTGGTCTTTGCCCTGGCCTCCTCACTGATCCCTAACACTATGGTCCATCTGATGCTGATCCCCTCACCTCAGCTCTCCATAACTCCCCAGTGCCCTCAGTTCAAATAGCAAACGTTGGCTTCTGACCAGAGAAACCCCTTCCTGGTCTGGCCATGCCTTCTCTCTCCTGTTACTTCTATCATGTGCTTCCTGCTGGTCCTGCTGTGCCTTGTCTTTATGCTTTTGCCCTTGGAGCTGACCTGACATCCTCCTCCAGGAAGCCTTCCCTGATCTCCCTGCTCATTCATCTACTGATCACTTGTCACATCAGCACGAAGGCTCAGCTCCTGCTCCCACACCAGTGTCTGTCACCTCCACTATCCCGGGGATCCCTTAGAGCCAGGCCTGGGGCAGAGCACCAGGAAGGCATGATGAACACAATCAGATTCCCAGACCCCAAATTGCTCCACTTCTCTCAGGGGAGGCCCAAGCTGGGTCACCCAGGAGGAAAATCATGCCCCTTGTCACCACCTCCAGAGCCACCCTTGTGAAAACACCAGCCATCAGGGTCCATCTGTGAGCCTGACATCCAAGGTTCTCGATGGCCTGTTCCCCTCATACTAACCATCCCTCCCAAACCAACACCACTGCTCACACTGAACCAGCAAATGCTCTTTCCTCTTCATGCTGCACCCCAACCTGGGCACTTCCTGGCCCCCCTACTCTCCTGCTATAGCCTCTCCCTCTCTGGGAGGCTCCCACGGACAAGGACAGCCTGCTCCCCTCCCTACTGTTGTGGCCCTGAGGCTGTTTGCAGTCCCCTTACTCAGTGTCCCTTGTCTGTGACTGTAAATACGTTTTATTTTCTATCCCCACCTGGGCGACATGTGGAGTGTGAACAGGCAGTGTGCAAAATGGGGGTGGGCAGTGTGAGAGGCACATGGAAGAGCCCCACAATGCCCACCCTGGTCCCCAGGCTTTGTAACACTGAGACGTGGGCAAGTGGAAAGAAAGGGGTGGGGGCTGAGCATGGATCCCCACTCCAGGAGGCGCCGAGGAGGCCGCTTCAGGCTCCAGGAGCCCCAAGAGTCCAAAGGCCCTGGAAGGGAAGGGGTCTGGGGAGCATTGATGGACTTTGGCACCATTCTTGGCTCTGACTGCAGAGATCACAGGACCACTGTGAGGAAGGAGGCATGAGGTGCCACCCCTCTGGGCAGCCTCCTCTCCTGGGGCCTGGACCTGGCAAAAGGGGGGGCCGGGGAAGCCAGGGAAGGAAGGGAAGTGGAGGCTGGGGACCCCTGGAGAGGAGGCTAGCCTGGGGGGCGGAGCCCTCCCATCAGTGGTCAAGATGGGGTGATGGGTGCTTCGCAGAGGAAGATGTAGGGGCCCTGGGGACTTGGGGCTCATGACTTGCTTGCAGCTGCTCTGGCCCCCCTCCTCCCAGGAAGCAGGGACGGACACTGCCTGGCCTGGTTCCTGCTGGCTGTGCACCCCCAGGGGGCCCTGCACACAGTAGGCGGAACTTTGGTTTCGGCTTGGGCCATGAGGCCTGCATCAGGCAGGAAAGCCCCGCTTGGCCATCTGTCCCTGGAAGCCAGGGACCCCCCAGAAGCATGGTGAGGTGTTGACGTCCAGCCCAGAGCTTCTTCCTCAGGCTCCTCCAGCTCCTTGCCCTTCCCAGCAGGGCTACTCTCCTGTTCACCAGGCCTGGTGGGAGGAGGGAGCTTTCTAATACCAGTCCTGCGACCTGTGTCCTCTCGTGCCCTTTCTGTTGAGAGGGGCAGGCTGCCAGGTAGCCGGGCCTAGAGGGGTTGAACAGCGCTGGGGAGGGCGGGTGTGACAGGTACCCTGAGGGTCCTCAGGCTCCAGCTCTACCCTCTGCATCCTGCTGTGTGTGTCGCTTGGGGTGGGCTTGGAGTTTAAGTGTGGCCCCGGAGGCCCTCCCCCACCCCCAGCTCTAAGCTCAAGGGCAGGGCCTCAGTTGTCCAGGCCCTGACTGTAGGGTGTGGTCAGCTCCTCGGCGTCGCTGTCGGAGCTGCCTTCGCTGTCCTTGGCTGGCCGCTCCAGGCTGCGGAGGAAGCGGGCGTCTTGGGGGGACAGTGGGTAGAGTGTATCCTGCAGGGCTGTGCCCACGCCCATGCCCAGCAGCTCCTCATCGGACGATGGCAGCGAGTCCTCATCCAGGTGCCGTGCCAGCCCTAGCCCGTCGAAGGCCAGTGGGTCCTCGAAGGACGGCGGGCCCTTCAGCAGTCGTACCTGGGGTGGGATGGCACACTGGATGGCACCCCTGCCCCCGGGCACCCTCCTCGCCCGCGCCCCAGGCGGACACTGACTCCTGGCTGGTCACCCAAGGAGGACACGCAGGGCTCACCTCGGCCTTCAGCTCCTCTATCTGGTCCTTGAGCTCCCGGATGTACTGCGAGGAGTCCGAGTGGTTCAGCTGGCCCTGGATGCGGCCCTCCTCCCGCTGTGGGTGAGCCAGGTTCAGGGGGGCAGGCAGCATCCGGGCCTGGAGCACGCTCCACCCCGCCCTCACCCCTCACCTGGATCTCCAGCTCCGCGATGCGCTGCCGCATTTCAGCCACCGCGGCCATGCTGTCCGCCTCCCGCAGGCGCACCGCCATCACCTCCTCCTTGCTCTGAGGGCAGTGGGGAGAAGGCGGGTCAAGGGCGAGGCGGGCAGGGGTGGGGGCGGGAAGGCGGGATCCGGGAAGGGGGCACCTTGCACTCGGCCTCGGCCTGCTTGCGGCGGCTTTCGCTCAGCTGGGTCTGCAGCCCCTTGTTCTGCGCGGCCAAGTACTGCAGCTTCTCCTGCAGCGCCGCGCGCTCCGCCTCCACGCGGTTCAGAAGGTTGCGGTGGATGTGGTCCTGGAGGAGGGAGGACGTGCGGGCGGGGGTCACGGCCTACCAAGGAGGCAGCCGTGAGCACCCAGACCCCCGAGAAGGCGGCTGCGGCCCACCTGCGTCTCCAGCTCCACCACGCGCTGCCGCAGGTCTCTGCCCTCGGCCAGGGCCTGGGCCTCTCGCAGACGCACGCTCATCAGCTCGTCCTGCAGCTCGCCCAGGACCAGCTTCCGCGGGGACTCCTTCCAGCGGCCCCCGCGGGACAGGTGGGCCTGCCGAGAGAGGCCGGTGGTCAGCCGGGGCTCTTAACGCACGGAGGGTGGCCGACCTCCTGGGTGCACGGCTGCTTCCTGTCCACGGGCGAGCGCCTCACCTGCCAGGTGTCCGAGAGCTCCTGCAGCTGCAGCTTCAGCTCCCTCGCGGAGGCCACGGCCTGGCCCTCCCGCACCTTGAGTGCCCTGAGCTCCTCCTGCAGCTGGGCCACGTTGTTCTCATCAGGTAGGGAGCTGTTCCTCTGAGGGCACAGGAGTGGTCAGCCTAGGGCAGCGGACAGCCAGGCACCCCCTTCCTGAGGGCCAAGAGGCCTTTCCTCATTTCTTGTGGGCTCCTCTTGGGGTGGCCCAGCCAGGAGGGCCCGTGGGGAGCAGATCCACCTCTGTGCCCCAGCTGTAGATTCTCACCTATAAAATGGCTGCCAGAGCCCTGGCCGGGGTGGCTCAGTTGGCTGGAGCATCATCTCATACACCAAAAGGTGGTGGGTTCGATTCCTGGGTCAGGGCACATACCCAGGTTGCAGTTCCATCCCCAGTTGGGGTGCATGCACCAGGTTGATCTTTCTTTTTGAAAATTTGTTATTGTTTAACGTATTACAGATGTCCCCTCTTTTTTTCCTTATTGACTCCCTCCACCCTCACCCCCCATAGATTTTTCTCTTATGTCAGTGTTTGTCTCTCTCTCCCTCTCTCCTCCCTCCTCTCTCTAAAATCAATAAAAATAAAATGGCTGTAAAAACAGGGGTGGGAGTGGAAAGGGGGGATCCAGGAAGGTCTGCTTAGGGACACCATAAATCTTACTGCTGAGGACACCAGGCAGGCGGGTGAGGACCAGTGCCTTCCCACCTGGGAATCTGAGATCCACTCCTATGGGGCCAGAGCCGGACCTGCCCCAGCCGAAGCTGGGAAGACTGGACTTTGGCACCTTGTACTTCACTCCTTTGCAGCAGCCCCTCTTTCTGGGAACCCACTCAGGGTCAGCCCAGGCCTTGTCTTGGCTTCCAAGGGTCAGGGATGAGAGATTTGGGTTCTGAACTTCTGGAACAAAATCCAGTTTGCCACCCTGGGACCTCCCTTATCCTTGTTTGAGTCGGAATCGGGGTAGGGAGTCAGGATCTCCTGGGTTCACCTTTCCTCCAATGGGGAGGGAGATGGAGGGAAGCCCAGCTCTTGGATGGCTGAGGGGACTGGGCTGAGGCAGAGATTCCGGGGAGGCACCCAGAGGAGTGCAGGCTCCAGGGGCTGGGCGGCTTCTGCCAGAGTGTGTCCTCTCCGCCCTCCTTTGGCAGCTTTGTAGACGCTGAGTCAATAGTCAGTGTGAAAGCAGCTGGGGATTGACCCAGGAGGCCTGGGTCCCCTCAGGGCTGCAGGCAGGAGAGGGTTGGGTGAGCAGTGCTGCTGCTGGACCTGGGATGTTCCTTCCCCCCTTCTCTCCTGGAACCCAGGGCCTGGGGACACACAGGTAGGACAGACTGTCCAGGAAACCCATGAGAGCCAGTACACTGCTTTTCCTACCTGCTGCAAGATGGTGGGCATGCCGTGTGTGTGTGTGTGTGTGTGTGTGTGTGTGTGTGTGTGTGGTTGTGTGTGTGTGCGCGCGTGCCTCTAGGACGTGGGAAGGACTTAGGGGTGAGCAGCCCACTTCCTATCTGGCCAGACCTGCCCATAGAGATGATGGTAGAAGCAATCTCAGGACTGCTGAGGCAGGAGGATCTGACCCCAGGACACTCCCCATGGTTTCCCAGGCAACCCCTCTTCCTTGGCTCAGGCCTGATATGTACCCCCTTAAGGGCATGCAGCACCCCACCGCCCCTCCCCCCGAGTGTCCCAAACACCGGCCTGCCCAGTTGCACCTTCTCCATGTCTAGAACCTTGTCCTGCATCTCCCGTAGGGCCCCTAGTGTCTCCATCTCCCGCAGCCGTGACTGCTCCAGCTCAGTCTCCAGGCGGGCCACAAAGTCCTCGGTGAGGCGAGGGTTACCCTGGGGACAGACGGAGGCTGCATCAGTTCCCGGGCTGCAGCTGGAGGGTGGGCAGCCTTCCTGCCAGCTGGCTGCGAGCTCTGGACTTGGCCCCTCCTCTCCAGAGCCCCAGGGCTGGGAGGCGGCTCAGGCTGGGGGTAGAGTGAGAAATCAGGAGAAACCCCGATCCTCTTCCTGTGCTTCTGCCTTCATGGGACGAGAGTGGAACCCCTGATGGCTAGGCGTAGCCCCCTTCCCGAGAAAGCCACACAGAGGGAACCTACTGGAGGGAATGTGCGGGCAGGATGATACTCCCTGAGAGATACTAATGGCTGGCTGAGAACTGCTGGGATGGGGGTGGAGAGGTTGGGGCTCCGGGCTATGGCACTCCGGGCCCTCTTTCTTCACCCCTCTCCTCTCTCCTCCTCCATATCTAAACAGGAAAGGGTGGGAAAAGAGTTTGCTGGGTCCCCATTTCACTGCCCTGGTGGCCTGGCAGGGCATTCTCTGGAAGGTGGCCCCTGCACTCCACTTCTACCCCATCCATCTCCTCTTCCCCACCTACCCAGGCCTGCTTGCTGCCCTCGACCACTTTGGGCCTCTGACATCCATGGGTGCCAGTGGCCCTCCCTTGGCCCAGGTGGGCTTCAGGCCACATGCCAAGCTCCAGCCCTGCCAGGCTGACCCTCTGTTCACACCCAAGGAGATGGTGCTCACGGGCCAGTGTCTATGGCACTACCTGCCTCGCCCATCTCTGCATCCCCTCAGGCCAGAGATCAGGGGTGGCAGGTGTCTCTTTGGCCTGAAAGAGGGCATCATGCCAGTGGTGGGAGGATCCAGCTCCGGTTTCCCCATTGGCCCAGCTGCTTCAGAGCAAGTTGGGGGCCACAGCACTGGCAGTGAGGGGTGGGAGGTGGACACAGGTGAGAAATGGTGAAGCTCCCTGTCCCTGTGTCCAGGGACAAAGAATCAACTCATTCCTGAACCAAAGCCTGAGCCCAGGTCTCCAGACCTGGGTGAGAACTCCCAGGGAACTGCCCTTCCTTCTCTCTACCCATTGCTTCTTGAGCACCCGAGGTTTCCCCAAATCAGGAGCCCACTTCACTGCCAGGCTCTGCTGGGATCAGGCCTGGATTGCAGGGCCCCAGGGAACCTACAGCATCTTTCTCTGCCCCTCCAGCGCATGTGCACATGTGCACTCTGAACCTGGGGGCTGCAGCTGCTGGCAGGCCAGTAGCTAAGGAAGAAGCCTGCGGGGTAAATCTGAAGGAAGGGTCTGCAGGTCTTTGCACAGTGCTCTCGCCTGTGAGCCTTCCCCACCACTGAGTTCAAGACCCCATAACAGACTTGCCAACCCTGCCAGTTCAGAGTAGTGGGCATAGTCCAGACTCTCCTCTGAGGGCAAAGTCCTGGGTACCAGAGAAGGGAGCCCCTCTCTTGTCCCTCATCCTAGCTCCTACCCTTCATGGTTGACCCCTGGGGAAGCCCAATAGCTCCGAAGAACTTGGGGAGACACAAGGAACCACAGGCCCGTCAGTCAAGGTCCAATGCCTGTGCCAGGACGAGGGCCCTGCCAAGCACCCCCGAGGGCGGTGGAACATGGAAACTGCAGAATTCTCCCTCGGGTCCGGGGCTGACTGCTGAGGGTGGGGCTGGGGGAGAGTGTGCACTGAGCTCTGGGTGCTCTCCCCACCCAGCCAGTTAGGAACCGCAGGGCTGATCCCCAGGCACTTGCTGGTGAGTCCAGACAGTAGCTGCCAAGCAGGGGGTCGGAGTGTGGCCTCACCACGGTGGCCAGCCGGTACCTGCTGCTCCTGCAGCTGCCGGATGGTGCTCTGCGCCTTCTGCAGGTCTTCCGTGGCCGAGCTGCACTGCTGCCGCACCACCGCCAGCTCCCGCTTGATGACATAGTTTTCCTCGGCCTCCTGCGCCCGTGTCACCTGTCCCTGAGCCGATGAGGACAGGGCGTGACCCTCTGTTCACACGCCAGGCCCTGCCTCAGGCCACCTTAGAGGGAGTCCAAGGAGGGCAGAGGAGTTGTGGGAGAGGGGTGAGGCCTCCTTCACTCAGAATCTGGGATGGGGCGTCCCATGGAACCTCGGAACAAGGGTGACGGGTAGGGAGGTACAGGACACCAGGAGGAGCCTGGAGGAAGACACCGGTTTCCAACCCGGGTCCAGGCTCCGTGGGGCTTAAATGGAGACAGGGCCACAGGCTGGGAGCTGCTGGCAGCTTTGTCCCCTCCTGACTTCTGGCTGTTGGCCTCTGTCCCAGGGGAGGAGAAGCAAGTCCTTACCCAGGGCGATGGCACACCAGAGCTCAGGCTCTGCTGGGGAGGGCTGGACAGGAGCTGAGGGCTGGCTCCCCAGGGAAGGGTTGGGAGGTGGAATATGCCTCTCCCCTGGCCATCCTCGGTTCTGATCTACCCCACCCAGCCTCATCCCCTCACCCCACCCAATTCGGGTCCCCCCATTCCATGCTTGGAGCCACCAGGTGGCAGGCAGATGCTTCCAGATAAAGCCATTCAAGATGAGGCAGCAGCAGAAGCAGGTGAGTGAGAGAGCATGGCAGGCCTTGCAGGTGGAAGCAGAGAGCGTGAAAGGCCAGAGGGGATGGTGTGTATGTGTGGGTGGGGGAGCTCAGCAGTGCACACACGAAGGCCTGCTATTGATGCACCCTCAGCCCTCCTGGTCCCCACCTGTATCCCCTGGAGGGAGGAAACTGTGTCCCTGTGTGCGTACACACACTCACAGACACAAGGACATACCCTCAGTTGCCATGTTTGCACACGCACAGCCACCTCCTCTAGAGGGAACCTCTGTTTTCCTGAGAAGCAGTCCCCAGCCACCCCCATGCATGGCGCCAGGCCTGTCCCCCTCACCCACGGCAGCAGCCAGGGAGGAGGCAGTGTTGGCTATCATGTGTAGAGATGGAGAAGGAAACAGGAGTCAGAAGAAAAGCCACAGTACCTGGATTAACCTATCAGCCAGAGCAGCGCTCTCCTACCCGGCGAGGGGGTTCCCAGCAACAGGGGGAGGAGCAGAGCAGAAGGTGCGGGGACAGGAGAGGGGGAGAGACAGACAAGAACCACTTGTCACTAACGCAGTGAACTATGTCTAGAAGCAGGGGAGACAGGAGTGAAACCTGAGAACCAGAAAACCAGCAGGACAGGACCTGGAGGAAGACCAAAGCTAGAGCCAGTTCCTTCCAGGAGAGGGGTCTGCGTGTGAGCTGAGTGGGAAGTCAGGGGACTCAAGACTGGGGCCAGCTAAGGCCAACTGGGAACACTCAGCAACTTTGATTCGGAGGCTGAACAAGAATGGAGGCTTTGGGGCAAGGGCAATAAAATCCTGTGGACCATGCAGGGTCAAGTGAAAATGAGGGGAGAGCAGGGAGAGGGGCCTCCAACTCTACTTTCATCTTTAAAAACAAGATTGGGGCCATGGTCAAGGTTGTGGCACCCAATCATGGATCCAGTGGCAAGACCACCCCCTATTCCTTCACTCCCAACTCCTTCCCTTTGAGGGCAAGGCTTTCAAATTATAGGGTGGGGTGTCTATGGCCCAGTTCCAGGCACCTCGGTCAAAGTAGCAGTTCTACCTCCTCCGCCCCACCCAGACGGCCCTGGAGGGCACCGGACACAAATGGGTTGTGGTGGTTGCAGTTAACTGGGTTGGCGCTCAACCTCCAGCCCCAAGCTAAGGTTCCCCACGGTTAGAATATGGCAGCTCAAATATCAGCGGGGTTCATAGGGAGGCTCGGGCAGGAGGCTCGCTGGCCCTCTGGCTCGCTGGTCCTGCTTGGGGCCCGGAGAGTTCAGTGACTGACAGGCAGGTGGCCATACCCTCACCTTCTCCAGGGTCTCAATCCGCTGTTTCAGAAGTCGGTTCTCTGTTCGAAGCCTCTATGTGGGGAGAGGGGAGAGCACATCAGATCCTGCCTCCCACTTCCATACAGAGGTCTGTCTCCCAAGAGGCCAGACCAACGCTCAGGACAGAGCTAGAGGCTTACATTCTGCGTCAGTGATCCCAGAAAACAGGGCCAGCTCCCATTCAGAATTATTAAATTAAAAAATATTTTGATTGATTCAGAGAGGAAGGAGAGGGAGAGATATAGAAATATCAACAATGAGAGCGAATCACTGATCAGCTGATAAGCCTTAGTTCAGTAAAAATAATGCGAGCGCTTTTGTGGATACACAGTGTGTGTGAGGTGGGTGGTCTCTACCCATGTTTGGGCCTGTCCACTTCCCACAGGGCAAAGGGTTCTGCGTTTTGGGGGAAGCTGCTATCAGACAGCCCCATCCTTCACTGCTTAGCCTCCAGCCCCAGAGTTCCATTTTCAGTTGACAAACTTCTCAGGATTTGGGTCCAGGGTAGGAGGTCTTGCTGAACACCCATACTTTCTTCGGCTCGACAGCTACATCTCTGTGACCCACTGGCCCACTGACAGCCAGCTAGCTGTGCCCAACAATCGTTACTTCCCCCAGGGGAGGCCACCTCCCTTGCTTTTGTCTTCCGTCCTGTGCTCGTGGATTCTGGTTACATATTTGTGGTTTTAGGTTTTCCTATGAAGCAACTGCTGGGAGAGATGGCAGATTTGATTGATGGCCACTGACTTACATCATGGATGGGGAAACTGAGTCGGAATGAGGCAGTGTTGTGCCTGAGCCTCCTAGACTGTTTCAGAGGGCAGGTCTCGGTCCCTCCCAGTGATCTGGAACCCAGAGTCTTGACCCATGACCTTTGGGTTTCTTTGGCATAAACACAGCCATCCTTGGAGGAGCTGGATGTGCCCTGCAGACAACTCACCTCTCTCCTCTTACTCCAAAGGGAGAGAGTGTGTGTGTGTGTGTGTGTGTGTGTGTGTGTGTGTGTGTGAGAGAGAGAGAGAGAGAGAGAGAGAGAGAGAGAGAGAGAGAGAGAGAAATAGAAAGCACAAAAACTATGGGGGGCTATGTACTAGTAAGAGCATAAATTTTTCCCCCTGTATTTTTGATGCTTGGACATTCTGAGGCCTTGCTAGTCCTGGAGAGACATCCCATCCCAGGATTTAGCTAGTTCCTACAGATAGTAAACAACCTACTTGACAAGGCAAACCAGCCAATCCACAGCGTGACAAAGCTCCCCTTCCCACCTCCTTTATCTAATTCTCACATACCAGCCAATATTTCCCTTCTGAAATTGTCGCAGGACAACTAGGGACCACTCCTATAGCCCCTGAAATTATTCAAACTAGTCAATCCTAAACTTGCCCACCCTGCTTTGCCTATTCCTTTGTTTGAAAACCACAATAAAGGCTCTGGCCTCTGTTTTTCCCTTGATCTCTCTGCCTCCTGACCAACCCTGATGCTTCCCCATATGGCCTGGTGTGCCCTGCCTCTTTGAAACTGTAATAAACTCTTCTTTCAAAGGCAGTTAAAACAAATCCCAGGTATATTTTAAAACAGGGTAACGGTGAAAGAGCAAAGGACAGGGCTAAGTGAGAAGGCACCTGCCTGGATCCTTTAAGACCTCCTCTCATGGGAAATTTCCAAGCTGAACATGTGGTCCAGTGGTCTGCTGTATACCTACCTAATGCTGGGCCCTCACAGTCCTCAGAGGGAGCAAGCCTTGTCTGTGTATGAGCAAGACACCACACACACACACACACACACACACACACACACACACACACACAGCTTAGACTGGTGCATCAGTCAGGTTGCCACTTCTGAGAAAGAGAGATGCTAAAAAATTCAAGACACAAAACTATTTCTGGAAATCCTACAACTGGGGACAGAACAATGCTGCTCTCTTTCCCACTCAGGAATGGGTGGCAGGACTGGATTCTAACCTAGGTCCTGCCTTTGCCTTTCTAGAAGGCGTGGGGATGAGGAGATGATGATAGTAGTGGTGGTGGTGATAATAATAAATGGAACAGCAGAGTCAGTAACATTTCCCTTTTGTAGAAGGGGACACTGGGAGGATCAGAGAGGTGAATTCATTTTCCTGGGTTACACAGCTGGTCTGTGGAAGAGCTGGCATTTGAACCATGGTCTGAGGGACTCCAGTCTCAGCCACTGTGGAACTCTTGCCAGTCTGTAGACAGAGGACAGAGCCAGGCTGTGTTGGAGTTTGTGTTTATGTCTATCCACCTAACCCCACTGGACTGGAGACCCTCACTCTCTGCTGTGATTGGCACAAAGTAGGTGCTCAATAAATTTTTGTTTAATGAATAACTAAAATCATGTGTGGAGGAATGAAAGCAGAGAGAGAGGATGGGAAGACGGGGCTCAGAGACTCTGCACACTCAAAAAACCCCTTGTAATATTACGATTTATAGTAAATATATATATATATATATATATATATATATATATATTTTTTTTTTTTTTTTTTTTTTTTTTTTTTTTTTTTTTGGGTCTTCCATCCAGTCCTGGCACAGAGCATCTAAAGCCCTGGGAATTTTGTGAGGAGAGAGATAAAGGTGTCTTTTGTTATGTTAATGAGGACTTTTGGAAAGTCCCTTGGCCGCTGACAGATAGGGGCTGGTTCCAGAGAACCCAACCATGTGTCAGAGAGTTGGAACTTTCAGTCCTCTCCCCAGAGGGGAGAGGAGATGGGTTGGAGGTTGAATAAAGTGCTGATGGCAAATCATGTAACCAATCATGCCTGTGTAATGAATTCCCATAAAACCCACAGGATGGGGTTTGGAGAGCTTCCAGATTGCTGAATGGGTGGAGGTGCTGTGAGTGTGGTACAAACGGAAGGGCATGGAGCTCTGTGCCCCGTGCATCTCTTCCATCCGGCTGTTCCGGAGCTATATCCTGTATAACAAGCCAGTGACCCAGTCCTAACAGTTCTCTGAATTCTATGAGCCACTCTAGCAAATTAATCAAACCCAAGAAGGGAATCACAGGAACCTGTGATCGGTAGCCAGCTGGCCAGAAGCATAGGTGACAATCTGGACTTGAGACTGGCTTCTGAAGGGGGGAGTGGCAGTCTTGTGGGACAGTGGCCCTAACCTGTGGGATCTGACTTCATCTCCGAGTAGATGATGTCAGAATTGAGCTGAACACCGCTGGTGTTGGAGAACTGCTTGCAGATGAGGGGAAAAATCTCACACATTGGAGTTGCTGACAGAATTATACCCCCAAACCTAGTAGGGCTGGCTGGCCAGGCACCGGGGGCCATGAGTGTAGTGCCCTGGCCTATCCTCCCTGCATATGGCCCCTGCCTACCTCGGGGCTCCCCCTTACCCCTGACCTCAGGGCTCCCACCACTGAGGGGAGCATTCCTGATGTCCCTCTTGCCCCTTCAGGCCCGCTGCGGCTCAGGCCTTTAGCACTCAGTTCCCTGGACCTGCAGCAATCTCCCCTACACATTTTCTCCAGAGATATTTCTAGAGCTCATACTCTGTATTTATTGGTTCACTGACTGCATCCTCACTGCAATAGGAGACCCACAGGGCAGGTCCACCTTGTCCACCAGGCGAGCCCTTGCCCACATGTAGTCAACCCTCAGAGCTTAAGGACAGTCTGGTGTGCCTCATGTGCTGGGCAGGGATGCCCCCTAGTGGCCACCCACTTCTTGCCTTGGGGCGGAAGCTCCCCATGGCCTCTGGTCCCTGCCCCCCTTCCCTAGGAACTCACTTTGATTTCGATCTGCTCCTCCATCTCTTTACTCTTCATGGCCGCGTATTCCTTCTCGAGCCTGCAGAGGTGAAGGCTGACATGGTCACTATCCCTCCACCAGGGACCCCTTTTCCACCAGAGCCCTGGGTACTGACCTCTTCATCTTCTTAGGGTTGTACTTGACCTGGTAAGCCTTGAGGATCAGCTTATCTGGGCAGCTGTCAAACTGATGAGGTATCACCTTTTGGAAGTACTGTGGGGACACAGGTAGTCACTGATTATAAGGGTGTGTAGGGGGGCGCCCCAGCCCTTCTGTGTCTGCTGTGCCCATTGCTCTGGAGGAGGGGGGGAGGGCAGTGCCTGGCCTGCCTGTTGTGGGAGCTCCATCATCGTTGGGTAAGCGAGTGAGTGTGAGAAGGCATCTGGGGAGAAGCTGCCAGCAGCTAGGACTTCAGTTTGCAGGCTGCGGAGGCTCCTGAGGGCAGAGACCCGGGCGTGCGTTGGGGTAGGGTCTGAGCACAGGGCACCTTCTTAGATGAAGGGGGAGGCGTGTTGCACCCAGGGCAGTGAGAGGATACAGAAAAGGTTGTAGAACTGGAACAGCCAGGAGCAACCTGGAGGAAAGACCCCTCAGTGGGTCTGCTGGCCTGGGGCCTCTACAAAGGGTTAAGTGTGAGCCACTGGTGGACACAGCTTGCTGTTGGTTGGGGCCAGGCTGGCTCCTGCTCCCCAGCCCAGCTGGCCCCCTCTGGCAGCTGCAGACAATGAACATTCGTGTCTGTGGACACAACCGTGGCCTTTGTGTATTCTTCTCGGAAGTAGCAGCTGGAGAACACTGGGAGGGGGCAGGGGCTTGCATGGTGGGACATGGCTGGGAGAAGCAGGGAAGCCAGGGTGGGGTAGGCCAGTGAGGCTGCCCAGACCCCTCACTCCCTCCTGTGCCCTCACCCGGCCCAGTTCCTAGGACCAAAAATCACACCCAAGGCCCCGTGGTTTGGCTATTATAATTATTTACCACAAAGGTTTTGGGGACAAGAGAAAGGAGGGGTGAAACTTCCCAGAGCCAGGGCCTGGGCCTTCCTCTCTCCCCAGGCTGCTGGCCCTGGACTGTGTCTGGCAGAGCCTGGGGCTCCTTAGGGCCCAACCTAGTTCTCCAGGGAGCCTCAGGGGCCACAGGGGATAGAAAAGGATCAGGCTGCTCAGGAACTCCGAGCATCTCACTTTACCTGCCCAGGTGCCCCTACGGGGGGAGGGGGCAATCCCACCCTTCCTGGGCCCTTGGCCCACCTGGGACATGCCCTCCATGTCCAGCTGCATCAGCTCCACCTGGTTCACCTGCAGCAGTGCGAGGCCTACCCGGAACACGATCTCCAGGCCCTGCAAAGGCAGTGGGGACAGTGCTTCCCGATCCCTCCCCAGACCCCGGCCCTTCCTTGGTTGGCATTTATTTCCAGTGTGGGGCCTTCAGGAGAACAAGCGGGTGAAGGGGTCCTGACCTCATACATGAAAATGTCGAAGACACGAGTGGCGACAGGCAGTGGGAAGGTGGTCAGGAAGAGTGTGAGGAACCAGGATGAGGCGTACATGGACGTGTGGAAGCTCTGGGAGCGGAAGTGGGTGTTCAGGTCCGGGAGCTGCTCCTGAGGGGTTGGAGGAGGAGGCCCAGCACTGAGGAGGAGCCCGAGGGCACCAGGCACCGCTGTCCATGACCACAGGCTCCTTCCACCTGGAAGTGCCGTCTCGGTGTTCCTGCCTCCAGGAAACCTCTGGTCTGTGTGCCCTCAGCACTGTGTGTGGGTGAGGCTGAAACAACCCCAGGACTTTGAGCAGCATGAAGTGGGGACACAGGCAGGGGTGACAGGAGTAGCAGCAGCTCATGGGTGCTGGACGTGCACCTTGGGCAGGAAGTGGCCATTTGCTCTCCTTTCTGATCACGGGCTCCTCATGATCAGCCTGACAGGAGCTTCTGAGGCTTGGGGTGGCTTACATAACTCCTCAAGGTCACCCAGAGAGTGAGAGGTGGAATGGGGTACGGTGTAAACCTACTGCTGGTCAACCTGCATTCCTTGACTTGCCAGGCGTTGTGCCTCCCCATAGCCCCCTCATGATGCTCTGTGCCCAGCAATACTCAGGGGATGCCGGTCTGATTGCTGAAAAGTGACAGAAACTGGAGACATAGGCTGGAGGAAGTATTAGGACCCCCTTGATGTCATTTACTGGGAGAAGGGACTCTGGTGCCCCCTCTGCAACCTCCCCTAGGCTTCCTTGCAAGACCCAGGGGCTCCTTGGCTCTGCCTGGCTCTCAGCTACCCAGCCTGGGCAGGGCCATCTCTTCTCTGCAGGCCCCGGGCCCCTTGCTTGTTGGCACTACCAGGTGCCCTTGAACAGTAGCACCTCCCAGTTTTCCAGGCCTGAGGAATGGGGCTTTGATGACCAGGCTTGTTCCTGGGCCCACCTCCCATTCCCCCTTCAACCCTCACCCCCAACTACTGTGTAGTTTCACAGCCCCACCGGTGACAGACTTCTAGAGCAGACTGTGTGCATGTGTGCGTGTGTGTGTGTGTGTGCTGTTCTTTCTTTGCATGCACAGGGAAAGTGCCTTCTGCCAGCCAAGAGTGGCCCCTGTGCCCTGTGGGGGCTGCTATTTATAAACAGAAAGGTCTGCGGCTCCTGTAATCATCAAAGGCAGGCAGACAATACTTTCTCTCCCCTGCCAGACCACGCTGGGAGCAGACGGTGAGGGCATTATGGGTGTGTCTGGCAAAAGCCAGCTTGACCCCTCTGCCCTTGGACTCTGGAAGCCCCGAGCTCCCAGGAGCCCCCACTATACATGGCTGGCCCTGCCCTCTCCCGGGAAGTGTGCTTGGGGGCAGGGCCACGTGGCTCCCTGGGACTAGAGCTCCTTTCTGAGCTGGGTCCTCTGGGGAGGATTTCTCAGCCCTGGAATGTTCAGTGAAGCAGACCCACTGGGCTGGCTGTGGGCTGCAGAGGAGGGGGTGGTGATGGCCACCCCGGCCCCACTCACCTGCAGCATGTACTCAAACTGGTAGATGCAGAGCCCCAGCTCAGCCATGCTGGGCTTGAAGAGCTCCCGCAGGCGGTACTCCTGCATCAGCCGCACAAACACACAGAAAGCCTCCTCCTCCGGCATCTGGGGGTGGGCAGGGGGCAGGGGCTGTGAGTGCGGGCAGGGTCCGGGGAGGGCGCTTACTTGGACCTGGAATACTGCGCGAGGCCTGTTTCTGCTCTGTTTACGCTTAATGAACAAGGACTGCGTGGCCTGTCAGAACTCTCACAAGGAACCTCTGGTCACTCCGTGCACTGATGGAAAATCTCCCGAGGCTGAAGTCACCTACCACAGGGCCACCTGGCAGGGGCTTGGCCCCCAGGTGTGGCCACCTCCAGAGCCCTGGGCCACCATCTGGCCCATTCTCTCTGTGTCTCTGTTCTCTTCTTCCTAAGCTGCTGAATTCTCTGGACAAACCCAGCCCCATAAACTCCACGCCGGCTAATGTAAGCTCCCTGTCCACCCCTGGGAGGTGGCCGAGTAGGACGGCCTGCCCCTCTGGACCTTGGACGGTGCCGTGGACAGAACCGGCAGTCAGCCCCTCTGTGTTCGCCCACTGGGGCTTGGCCTGGGACTGCCGGAGGCCACAGTTGGACGCAGGGGTGGGCTCTGACGGTAGAACACTGGGTAGAGGGTTACATTCTGCTTTTGTCCACTCCTGGAAGCAGAGCCTAGATGGGCTGGCCCCTGCCATCAGCCTGGCCCACGCCACCTACCTGCATTAGGAGCAGGCCCACGATGAAGGCACTGCCCTGGCAGTAGCCCACCTCCCGGTCCACCAGAGAGTAGGCCTGCAAGGGAATGAGAGTGTCAGGGCAGGGTCCGGCCAGGCTCAGTGACAGCAGGCCAGTGTGGCGGTGCTTCTTCATGTGGGGCTGGGGGGTCCTCAGCAGTGGGGGCCTCACCTTCATGACATTGAAGAGGACCTCCTGGCCCAGGCTGTCCTGGCCCTTGAAGAACTCGTGCTCTGGGTAGGTGCGGGCGATGTCCCTGCGGATCAGCTTCTCGCATGGCGAGGACATCTTGAGCAGCTCTGAGTACTGGTTCTTGACTGGCATGTTCGTAGCGCTGCACAGGAGCTGCCACACGATGGCCCGGAAGTGGTGCGGGATGCCCTTGTGGATGAGCTCCTGGGGACGGGGTGGGCAGCAGAAGGCCAGACTAGATGCTGTCCCAGTGCAGTCTCCCCACGGCTACCTAGTCCATGGGCCTTGCCTACGCCATGTATGTGGCTCAGAGCTCCGCGGAGTCCACACTGCTTAAGGTACTGCCCCACCCCGTTTGTCACAGAACATAGCCGGGGCAGGAAACAAATAGGTGCCTGAGACGGTAGTGTGACAGCTACTTACCTGGCCAGCTCCAAATCACACTCTCTTCCCCCCACCCCTGCCCTGGCAAGGCCCCCTGAAAGTGCCTGCGCAACTCCACTTCTGTCCCTTTGCCCGTGCTGGGACCCTGGTGCTGGCGGAGTGACCTGCTGTCGGTCCCTGTTGGCCCTCCCACCGCCCACCCACCTCCACCATCCCTGCCACCTTAAGCAGCTTCTCCTTCCTACGCCGCCACTCTTCCCACTCATTGGCGATTCGGCCCCACAGGATCCACGTGTCCTCCTCCAGGTGGCTCAGGTTAGAGGAGGCCGAGGAGCTGGATACCAGAGAGGAGCCGCTGTTTCTCCGGGAGCCATTCATGGAGCGCATTGATTTGGAGTCGGCTTCCAGGAGCCTAGGTAGGGAGGGCGGGTAGAGGCAGTTCTGGGCTGCAGGCATCGCCATGCTGGTCCCTGGCTTCAGTGACTCCTCGGGAACAGGTAGCTGCTGAGGAGCCTGGCCCCTCTCCTCGTGGATTCCAGAGGCCACCAGGGATTTGGTCTAACTGTTCTTGCCTAGTGACCTTGGCCAGAGCCCTAACTTCTCTGAGCTATGGTCCATCTCCCTGGTTCTCTGCAGAGGCTGCATTTGTTTGTCTCATTTTTGTGCTCTGTACTGGGCTGAGACGCATAGGATTAGCTCACTGAGTCTTGCACTACCCCTGAAGGGCAGGCTTTGTGAAAAATCATGTTTTAGGGATGAGGTTCAGAGCAGGTGACTGGGAGTACTCAGCCAATGAGAAGCTTTATGAAACCTGGGTTTCTGATGCTTGGACAGCGAGGTCCTGGCTGACTCTAGAGGGCCTGTCGCTCCCAGACCTAGCTAATTCCTAGGATAGAGAAGGACTCACCTGCTAGTGCATCTTCATGTGCAAATCAATGAATCCAGAACCCAAAACCCGCCTCCTCTCCATCACCAGGCTCTCACACTCAGGGCTTCTATGTGTCCTGATCGCCACAGGCCACCCCTGTACCCTGGGGCAGGCTGAAACTATTCAAACAGCCCAACCCAGGCCTGCTCACCCTGCCTTGCCCACTCCTTTCAGAAACCACAACCGAAGTACTTGCCTGCATTTCCCCCTGGCTCCCTCTGCCTCCTGCCTGACCCTGGTGCCTCCCCGAGTGGCCCTGCCTCCTGCTTCTGTCTCCTTAGTGGCAGTCCTCTCCTGATCTATTGGCTTTGTTATAGCTGAATGGTAATAAATCTACATTTTATTTTATTTTTTAATATTTGAAAAAATTTTTTTTTTAAATTCAAAGCTATACTTCTGGAAAAAAGGAGCATGTTTTAAAGACAAGAAAACATAACTGATTAAAATTTCAATCACAAATTAATACAGTAACTTTTATTACAAACTTATCTTGTTATAAAACATTGTTGCCCTGGCTGATGTGGATCAGTGGTTATAGTGTTAGTCTGGGAACTAAAGGGTCTTGCGTTCAATTCCCAGTCAAGGGCACATGCTTGGGTTATAGGTTTGATCCCTGGGCCAGTCGGGGCACATGCAGGAGGCAAGCAATCGATATGTTTCTCTCCCATCAATGTCTCTCTCTCCCTCCCTCCCTTTCTCACTCCCTCGCTTCCTCCCTCCCTCCCACACTCTCTAAAAATCAATGGAAGAAATATCCTCTGGTAAGGATTAACAGCAACAACAAAGAAGACATAGTTTATGAAAAAGGAGAGGCCAGCCCTGGCCAATGTGGCTCAGTTGGTTGGGTGTTGTCCTGTGGACCGAAAGGTTGCTGGCTTGGTTCTCGATCAGGGCACATACCCAGGTTGTGGGCTTGATCCCAGGGAGGGGACATGCAAGAGGCAGCTGATTGATGTTTTACTATCATATTGATGTTTCTCTCTCTAAAAATCAATAAAAAAAATCTTAAAATAAGTAATATAACAGGCTCACTTCAAAAGCTCAAAAACCATTATTTAAAACTAGTTCAGCCGAGACCGGCTTGGCTCAATGGATAGAGCATCGGCTTGGGGACTGAAGGGACCGGGGCTCGATTCCGGTCAAGGGCATGTACCTTGGTTGCGGGCATATCCCCAGTAGGGGATGTGCAAGAGGCAGCTGATCGATGACTCTCTCTCATCGATGTTTCTTTTTCTTTCTTTTTTTTTTTTTTTGAATATATTTTATTGATTTTACACAGAGAGGAATTGAGAGGGACAGAGAGTTAGAAACATTGATGAGAGAGAAACATCGACCAGCCGCCTCTTGCACACCCCCTACTGGGGATGTGCCCGCAGCCAAGGTACATGCCCTTGACCAGAATCGAACCCGGGACCTTTCAGTCCGCAGGCCGACGCTCTATCCACTGAGCCAAACCGGTCCCGGCTCATCGATGTTTCTAACTCTCTATCTCTCTCACTTCCTCTCTGTACAAAATCAATAAATTATATTAAAAAAATAAACAATAAATAATTTACAAATTAATAATAAGAATAAAAAAGTATCAGGACATTTAAAAAAAAATAAGTAAAAGTAGTTCAATTGTTGCTTCTGTTCCAACTAAAAAAGTTCACTAAGCATACACCGAGAAAGTGCTACTATTTTTAGTCATCTTTCATTTAATAAATACTCATATTCATGAATATAATTCTTCTTCTACAACTCTATGGAAAATTGAAAGTACTTACATACTAAAGGAGGAAAGAGCAGATTTAAAGGGCTTCAAGGTGTACTTGTTTGCTAAGCATCAATATGATTTCCTTTTTAAAATTTTTTTTTAATTTTTTCAATTACAGATTACATTCAGCATTATTTTACATTAATTTCAGGTGTACAGCATAGTGATTAGACAATCATATACTTTAGGCTGGTGTGGCTCAGCAGTTGAAAATTGACCTAAGAACCAAGAGCTTACTGGTTAGATTCCTGGTCAGAGCACATACCGGGTTGCGGGCGTAGTCCCCAGTAAGGGCCATGTAGGAGACAGCCAATTGAAGATGTTCCTCTCTCATTGATGTTTCTATCTCTCTATCCTCTCCCTTCCTCTCTCTCTAAAAATCAATAAAAACATATTTAAAAATGAGTTTAGGCTGAAACCGGTTTGGCTAAGTGGATAGATAGAGCATTGATCTGTGGACTGAAAGGTCCCAGGTTCGATTCCTGTCAAGGGCATGTACATTGGTTGTGGGCACATCCCCGGTAGGGGGTATGCAGGAGGGGGCAGCTGGTCGATGTTTCTAGCTCTCTATCACTCTCCTTTCCTCTCTGTGAAAAATCAATAAAATATATTAAAAAAAGAAAAATGAGTTTATTTGTTTATTGTTTTCTTGCAGTATTTCCCAAAGTGTGGTACGCGTACCCCCAGGGGTAGGGAAGAGTTTGTTGGGGGTATGTGTTGCACAGGAGTTTGGTAGGGATATGCACTGCACAGTGCTTAGCTGCACCTAATTCTACGTTCTCATGAGTATGAGGGGTACTCAGCGTTATGAAAATTATAGAAGGGGTACTCATATATCAAAAGTTTGGAAAACACTGGATTAAGGTATTACATGTGTGTCCTTATCCCTCCATGCCCCCCCCCCAATAGTTATTTTTAAAATATATTTTATTGATTTTTTACAGAGAGGAAGAGAGAACGATAGAAACTTCGATGAGAGAGAAACATTGATCAGCTGCCTCCTGCACACCCACTACTGGGGATGTGCCCACAACCAAGGTACATGCCCTCGACCGGAATCATCGAACCTGGGACCTTTCAGTCTGCAGGCCGACACTCCATCCACTGAGCCAAAAACGGTTTTGGCAGTTTTTTTTTTTTTAAAGTAAGTGTTCCCGCCAATATTCCCCGTACCCACCTGGTACCATACATAGTTATTACAATAGTATTGACCCAAATCCTTAAGCTATACTTTACATCCCCCTATTTTGTAATGATCAATCTGTGCTTCTCAATCACTTTACCTTTTTCACTCAGTCTCCATTCCCCTCCCTGTGGCAACCATCAGTCTGTTCTCTGTATCTATGAGTCTGTTTCTGTTTTGTTTGTTTACATTGTTCTTCAGATTTCACATATAAAGTGAAATCATACAGTATTGTCTTTTTCTGATTGACTTTAATTTCACTTAGCATAATAACCTCTAGGTCCATCCATGCTATAAAAAATGGTAAGGTTTCATTCTTTTTATGGCTGAGTAATAATAGTCCATTGTATATATGTATCACAGCTTGTACATAGATATGTATTTTCATTGATTTCAGAGAGGAACAGAGAGGGAGAGATAGAAACATCAATGAGAGAGAATCATTGACCAGCTGCCTCCTGCACGCCCCCTATTCGGGATCGAGCCCACAACTTGGCTATGTGTCCTTGACCGGAACTGAACCCGGGACCCTTCAGTCCGCAGGCCGATGCTCTATCCACTGAGCCAAACCGGCTGTATCACAGCTTTTTTATCCACTCATCTATTGATGGGAACTTTACATCAATAGCAAGTTGCTTCCATATCTTGCTATTGTAAATAACCATGCAATGAACATAGGGGTGCATATATTCTTTCCAATAAGTAGGGAATAAACCAACATTTTAAAACAAGGGCGGGGAAGGGGGGGCAGAAAAAAAGGTGGAAAGGCCTGACTCCAGAGTCAGAGGCTTTACTCTTCTGTCTAACAATGGCTTGAGAAACGTAGACAGTTTCTCAGATTCACTCTGTCTCTAGAAACCTTGGTCTCCTCATCTGAATGGGGAACTATGTTCACTCAGGGTTAGGAGGATGACACTGCCTCTGGTGGGAGCTATAACTTTGCCCAGGGCTAGGCTCAGACATGAATGTAAGGGAGCAGCAGGAGCTTCTGTTTGGGGCCCAAGCTGTACCCTTGCACACCCTCCTCCTACCCCAAGCCCCAACTCACCGGTTCTGCTCCTCCAGTTTGGCCAGCAGCTCCAGCTCATTGGGGCTGAGGTTCTCAGAGTCAGAGGTGGGGGAACACGTGGGGGCTGACAGGGCCTCCTGGGATGAGGAGTCAGGGCTCAGAGTGGGGCTTGCCATGGTGGGCAGGCTCATCAACTGCAAGCAGGGCCACGTCACAGCTCTGTCTGGGGATCAGAGACACACATGGTCAGCATTGGGTTGGGTCCCCACCTCATTCTGCCAGTTTTGGGCCAGCTGAGCCTGCTGTTCACTGTGCACATTTTCTCACTCTGGGCTCCCACTTCTGCTCTGTACACTTGGTGAACTCCTCATCCCCATGCACCTCAACTCAGCTGATGGCCATGCCAGCACCTTCTATTCCAAACGCTGACTACCAGGACCCTTGCCTGTGTACTCCAGATGCCTGGACAGATACAACAGGACCACAGCAGGACCCAAGGTGTCCTGTTGTCCATGGGCATGAAGGCCAAGGCTCATCTCCACACCCTGGAGTCTTCAGCAGAGCCTGAGGCCAACGCTTCCATCACTCAAGACCCCTGCTGGGACCTTGAGGTGCAGGAACCCTACTTTGGTGGCCCTTTCTGACAGCTTTGGTCCTTGTCTCCTGCTGTGGTCTGCCCTGGGAGGCCTGCGTCAGCCTCTGAACTTCCCTGTCTCATGAACCAGAGTGGGCTGCTAGCACAGCCAGAAGCAATTATTCTCTCCTGTTCTCGCCAGAATTGCCAATTGACTACACTTGGGCTGGGAAGCCAGGGATGCATCAAAGTGCTGATAAGTCTGTGCCCTGGTGGATACAGAATGAGAGCCGTAAGTTCTGATGGGAATCCTGATCTTGGCTTGCCATGTGCCATGCAGGCGTCAGGTCATCTCTCCTATTTTTCCTGGGGAAGGGCCCACCCTCCTGGGATGCTCAAGAACACTGACCTCTCACTTCTGCCAGTATCATAAGAGGCAGCTCAGCACCATACCCAAAGCTCCAGCTCCAGACTCAGATAGACCTGTACCTAAAGCATGGCATCTCTTAACCAACTGTGTAGGCTTCTCTGAGCCTCACAGACCTCAGAGGGTGACTGTGAGAACTGAGTATGCTACTGCATGTGGTGTGTGAGAACAGTGCCTGATACTTAGTGATCATTCCATAAACATCTGCAATTATTATCCATCCTGGGGCCAAGGTTAAGGGCTAGCTGGGAACCAGGGCTCCATGTTTTTGATGTGCCTGTTGTGGAATATCTGTGGGGTTGGCATCACATCTGTAGGAGGTTCTAGTCATCAGAAATGGCTAGGAAAGGGAAGGCTGCTAGGAGCTGGGGGTGGTGTTCCTTCTACTCAGTCATTCTGCTTCTGGTGAGCGCAGGTTAGCTCAAAGGGTCTAAGAAGATAGTGATCCCCAGGGTCATGGTGGCAGGAAGAAAATCCTGCTCCCCTACTGCCACTGTGGGCAGTCCCTTCATGCCCACCCATTCTCCTGCATGCTCTGTACCAGGAGTCCTCTATGTGCTCTTGGACCCCACCTGACCTGGCTCTGACAGCTCAGCCTGCATAGGAGCCCTTGCCTGGTCTCTGGAGAGGTGGGAACTGGTCCCCTAGGCAGCATGGGATAGTAACGGGAAGAAAGCAGACTCCTTGCATCTGCCTGGCCACCTCAGGGCACTAGCACCTCCCTGCAGCCTAAGCTTAGCCCCCAGCCAACACCCAAGGGCTCAAAAGTTGGCTGGACTTGATCCTGGCCATGCACTTGATTCTGGCTGCCTTCCCTCATGCTGCCCTGTCATGGGGGTACCATTCTTCTTTCACCTCGATATGGGGGGGGGCAAGAACCCTCCCTCCCCAGAACTCTGTGACTCCCCAGGGCCACTGGTTCTGTCTCTGGTTTCTGAGAGCTCCCCTAGTCTGTTGGGTACTAAGGGCTCTGGCTTTTGGCGAGTGGTATGAACTCTAGGTCCTGGCAGAACCGGCTGGCCAGGGACCACCTGCTCCAAAGATCAAGCCACATGCACCACCTAGCTAGGGGTTAATCATTCCTGACAGAGGAACCATGGGGGCTGCACCAGGGCCTCCTGCAGAGTCAAAGTCTGTGGACAAGAAGTGCTGACCTAGAAAGATCTCTCTGGGCAGGGAGGAGCTGGGAAGGCTGCATGGGTTTCCCAGCTTCAGAGTTGGGAGTTAGGAAGGATCCTCAAAAACACACCTGAATTTGGGGAGCAGTGGAGGCCTCAGAGAAAGAGATCACATGAAGCTAGGATCATGACCTGGGACACTTTCTCAGTCATGCCTCTTCCTTGCTGGGCCCACCCTCTCCCCTAAAGAGCCTGGTAAAATAATTCAGGTCTGAGTTTCTGTTAAAAATAAAAACTATACCAGGAACCATCCACTAGGAGAAGGTGTTCAGCAATTTATCATATAGTAATGTGTATTTCATTCAGAAAATAAAGTTGACTCAATTTGGGCTGAAATTTGCAGCCTGAAGGTAGAAACTAATGATCCCTCAAGAGCTTTCTTTTGACTCATCCCAAGACTGCTTTGCCCTGGAAGCTATCTCCTGATGAATGAACATTCACACAGTCAGAGTGGTAGATATACACACTCACACACAATCTCATATTTATACATAACTCACACTTGATATACAGGTAAACACAAACTCATACACATTCACTATCACATGCACACGCTATCTCATACCCATGCACACTCTTGCACACACACAGGCATGCATGTTTTCTGCACTGACAAGACCTTGCCACCCTTGGAACTGAGTAACTTGGGATGGACACTGGCTTGCTGCCGTCCTAGCTTTGTGAGCAATGTCCCCTCTAGCCCCAGAGTGCCATGACTCTTACTAGCTCAACCATTCCTTTCCTGGCACTTACTGAGGGCCAGGCACTGTTCTAGGCATAGAGTGGAACGAGGTGACAAGAATACAACTCCACAGGGTATGCAGCCATTTCTCCCTTGCTGAATGGGCTCAGAGATGCAGAGAGGTCCAAGAGGCCATACCTCTAAAATTCACACAAGGCTCCCTCTAGGTCTGGGGTTCCAACTTCAATGCCATTTGCCCCTACTCTAACTCAGCCACCTAAAGGGGGATCCTGGCTCCTGCTCCTGCTGGTACCATCATTCACCTTGCTCCCATAGGGTGGTCTATGGCTTAGGAAGCTGAGCCAAGCAAGAGGAGTGGGAAGAAGATTCTGCTGGTGAGCTGGGCAGGGAGCATGGGGATAGAATAGTCCAGATGTCGGACATCTCCCACCTCCTTTTCCCTCTCCCTCTTAGGGAATTTTGGACACTGTGGTTGAAGTTCTCTCCCATCTAGTTTCCAAGAGGCTGGGCTCCTGGGTCTCCTGCTTCTTTGCCCAGGGAGTTTTAGCCTCCCACATGGTGCCTCTTCCTCCATAGGCTCTGCTGGGCCCTTGTCCCTTCATGCTGTTGGTGATCTCACTCTTTCGGCTTAAATGGCTGAATATATGTTAGTGATTGTGACACCTCCATTCTCAGGTTTTCCTTTCTCCTGAGCACCTGCCAGATTGCCAAATGACTCCTGAACATCTCCATCAGACCCCTGGCTAATGCAGGAATCGCCATTGTCTGAGTCCCTGCTACTGCAATATCCCCTGCTGGACCTGGTACAACCTAGGAGTTGATAAATATTTAAGGAATTGAACCAACTTGCTCACCCACCAATATTTACTGAATGTCTACCAGGTGCTAGGTACTATGCTGAGGACTGAAGGCCGGTGGGCAGAGACACAGCCCCTTCCCACCCAGAGCACACAGGGTCACTCAAACTTCCTACTACATATGGAGACAAATGCTTGGAATAAAAGATAAGGTAGAAAAAAAAGAAAAGATAAGGTAGAATGGAAAACAGTCTGGCAGTTCCTTAAAAAGTTTAACAAGAATTACCACATGACCCAGCAATTCTACTCCTAGGTATGGAGAATGGGGTACCCAAGAGAATGGAAGACACACATCCATATGTAAACTTTCCATGACTGTTCAAACAGCATTATTCACAACAGCCAATAAGTGAAAATAACCCAAGTGTCCATTGGCAGATGAATGGATATATAAAATGTGGTCCATCCATATAATGGAATAATTAAAAAAAGGAAGCTTGGGTACATATGAACACCGAAGACGTGATGCAGAGTGAAAGAAGTCAGACACAAAAGACCTCAGTGATAGGGTTCCATTTATATGAAATGTCCAGAATAGGTAAACCCTTAGAGATAGAAAGTTAATTAGTGGTTGCCAGGAACTAGAGCCTGGGGGTGGGAGGAATGGTGTGGAAGAGCAACTGTTTATGGGATTTTTTTGGGGGTAATGAAGTGCTCTAGAATTAGTGGTGAAGGTTGTACAACTTTGTGAATATACTAAAATCCACTGAATTGTTAATTTTAAAAGGGTGAATTTTATGATATGTGAATTATACCCCAGGTAAGGGATGGGGTGGGCTGGCAGAGGGACTTGGTGCAGAAGCAGTGGGGGAGGGGTGAGTGCAACTCAAGAAGGGACTACGAAGGGGCCAGAACCCCACAGGGCCTGAGTGGGCTTGCATTTTAGGAAAATCCTCCTGACATGCAGTGTGAAGATGCTGCTCCAAGCCAACTCTCTCCTGACTAAAGCTAGCCCCTCCTTCTGCTGCAGGTGGGCCTACCTGGGTCCCTGATGCTGCCATCCATTGGCTCAGGCAAGGCCTGGTACCACCCTCCTGGTGCTTGGTCTAAACCTGTTAGCTACTCCCTCTATGACTTGGAATCCCAACATTTCTGCATGGTGCACACAGCCTGCTAACCTCACCTCCTCCCATTCGCAGTCCCTCCACACTTAGCCACAAGGAGCACCTACTTCTTCCCGCCTGTCTTTGCACATGCTGTTCCCTTTGACTGGAAAGACATTCTCCAAGACTTGGTTTGAGGTTTTTTTCTCCTGTGAAATATTCCTTGCCAACACCCTGCCTCTAGTGTCCTGGCTCATTCTCTCTTTTCTCTCCCTGAAAATACCTACTCCCTACACCCCAGCCCAAGACATATTTTATGGCAATTATTTCTATGATAGGCCTGCCTGCCCTACTGGGCCATGAACATTCTGAGTATAAGGGTCTGTTTTCTTAATTTTCTACTCCAAGC